GCTAGCATGGCCCCTGGAGTTTTCTCTAGGCTGAAGATGCTCAATTCCTTCATTATATGGCATGGACTAGAGAGTCTTCACCATTCTTGTCATCTTCCTTTAAACATTTTCCTGCTTATCAATAGTTGTTCAATATTCTTAATTTTTTTTTTATAATTTGACTTTTTAAATCTAGGTCATGTATCTGTTTGGGGTTTATTGTGATTTATGGAATGAGATGTTGACCTCAGCCTAATTTCTGTTAAATTGCTTTCCAATTTTCTAAGCAGTTTTTGTTGAATAGTGAGCCCTTACCCTAGTAGTTGATTTATGGATTGATTTTTGAACATCAAACTCTTTGCTACTATATTTCATTGCTTCTCTATGTTTTTATTTGTTTTTGTTTAAAAACATTTTTATAAGCATTTATTTTACCTCTTGTACTCTTTGCCACTGAACAACTTTAAAATAAAAAGAAGACCCTCCTAACAAATGTGCATAGTCTTGCAAAACAAATTCCCACATTGACCATGTCCAAAAATGCCTATTTCATTCTGCATTTGAAGTCTTCTCATCTTGCAGTTTGACAATCACACAACTGCCAGAATGGTTTTCCTAAATCTCAGATCTTACTTTGTCATGCCTCTACTCAATGAACTTGAATGGCTCCCTATCACCTCCAAGAACAATTACAGACTTTCTGGCATTTTAAATTCTGTAAGACCTGACTCCTTCCTATCTTTCCAGTTTTCTTACACATTTCTCCCCTTCCTGCAGACTGGCCTACTGGGCCTTTCGTCACACTCAACATATCATCTCCATGTGTTTATACTAACTATTCCCTGTGCCTGGGGTATTTTAAAGTCACTCCCCAGCCATCTCAGCAAACATCATGCTTCCCACATACCAGAAACCAGGCTCTGGAGGACTTGACCTTTTAATTCCTGGAACTCTTGTCCAGGGACTCGATTGCCCATTGGTAGTTGCTTCAGTTGCCCATTGCAGCTAGGATTGGCTGCAGTCATGCTTGACTTCATTCACCAGCCACCAAACCCCTAAATGTGTACCCCTTGTCCAGCTTCTTTCCCACTTTTCTATTTCTGAAATCATAATCAAATCAGCTCTTTCATTACTCCTCCCCTCTGGCTCCAATAACCATTCTCCAATCAACATTCTAAGACAAAATATCTCCTGTGGCCCCACTCTTCAGGTACATTGTTTTTCCCTATTAGAACGTAAGGTCTTTAGGGCAGCTAGGTGGGGCCTGAAGTCAGGAAGACCTGAGTTCAAATCCAGTCTCAGATATTTAATATCTATGTGACCCTGGGCAAGTCACTTAACCTCTGCCTCAGTTTCCTCAACCATAAAATGTGTGCTTCCTAGTGTTGTTGCGAGGTTGTTGTGAGGGTCAAATGAGATAATATAAAATGTTTAGCGCAGTGCCTGGCACATGGCAGGTGCCTATTTCCTTCCTTCCTCTCTTTGAAGGCAGGGGTTGTTTTTGCTTTTGTATTTGTATCCTCACTATTGACACACAATAAGCAATTATTAAATGTTTTTTTTCTTTCGTTCATTTATCTCTATCTCTTAGAATCTTTGAAATCCTTCAAAACTCGATTCAAGCTCCATCTTCTATAGGAGGCCTTATCCCCCAGCTGCTAGTGCCTTCCTCTGTAAAGTTACATTGTTTATACATACATACACACACACATATTACCTACATACACAGAGGTATATATTGTTTCCCCATTAGAATATAAATTCCTCTAAGACAGGGAGTTTTTTTTTATATCCTCAATGTTAGCACAATGCCTAGCCCAGAGCAAACATTTCATCAATACTTCTTGACTAGCTGATATAACTTATAATTTTTATATAACTTTTAAAGCTTTTAAAAAATTAACCTTTTAGGTTTTTGAAAAAAAAAACCCTTCATTTCCCAATACATCCCCCTCCTCGCTCAGAGAAACAAAGAATAAAGCAAAATAAAAGCAGGTCAGCAAAACTCAACAACACATCAATCAAATATGATAGTGTATGCTGTCCTCCACCTACATTGTCTCCCAACTTTGCAAAAAGGGAGGAAAGTGAATTCTCATGTCTCTTTTTGGGTGCCAAGCTTGGTCATTATAATTATATAACATTCACTTTTTTTGTGTGTGGTTGTTCTTTCCAGCTGCATTGTTGTAATCATTCAACTAATCAGCAAACATTTATTGAGTACCTACTATGTGCTACATACTGGGCTATAACGGTAAAAACCAAACAGTTTACATTTTATTGAGGTAAACAACATGTATCTAAAATAAGCATACACACACACACACACACACACACACACACACACACACACACGCACCCAGATAGATTTTACAGGATCAAGGCATTAATAGTTGAGTTGAGGGGTGGGGCTGGAATTGAAAAAGGGTCATGAGCCTAATTTTGAAATAGCGAAGGTATTCTTTTAAGAAGGAAAAAAAAAGAATTCCTTTTTATTACTGGTACTAGTAATAGTACTAGTATCTAGTCTTCTGGAATTACTTTCCCAGAGGCTGGCCAGTTAGTCACATATCTTACTTAAGGTTCTAGGGGTCCCCTTGAGGGGTTGAAATGTCTTTTCGTAATAACAGTGGCTGAAGCCTCTATTCCATTGTGTTCTCCCAACATTTAGCTGCAAATGATTAGCACCCCAGTTTCATTTAGCCAATTAAGATTAATGACTTTTACAAAGGGTTACTAAATTTGAAAATGTAGCAAGAATAGAAATACAAATATTTTCTTCCCCACTCCCCCAAACACTCTTCCCTCAAGAGAGTAGCCTCATACTTAACACTTAAATAGCATTAGTCCTGAGAAGTTCATGTTCAAAGGCAGGATTGCTCCTTGTCTAAGCTATGCCTAGGCTGGATCCCAAAGGTCCCTCCTTGGGGCCTCAAAACTGTACTGACTGGCTGCAGACCTCAGCATAGAATCCTCTCATGGATCTATTGATCATTTGTTCTCCTGAGCTTTTGAAACTCTACAGTCTCTAACTTTCATCTAAAATAAAAGAATGTTGTTTATCCTTCATTTTTGAAGAAGGCTAATGACAACTTGGATGATGTCTTGGCTTGTTTGTGAATTGGATTGAAGTGAGGCAGAGTTGCACAGTCATCGGTCTCATTCTCTCTTCCTGAGTCATCAAAAGTCAAGATGACTGGTGATGTCCTGGGATGCAGGAGATACCTTGGCATTTTCGATGCCTGCTTCAGGCACCTTCATGGCCATTGGAAGAAAATGTTCCCATCTATCCATTCCACCAGGGAAAGTCTTCAGATGCTTGGGGTAGACATCCACCTAATTCATCATCAAGTTTGTGGTCTGTCAGTTACCCTCACACTGGTTTAGCCCATCTGCCAAGATTATTTTAACGGAATGTAGCCTCTACACATGTTTCTTGGAGCCACAGGTGAGAGAATGAAGTACAGAACTTACTGAGATGAGGAACCTAGGCCCACAGTCAGCACCACAGTATTTTTTCTCTTCTTTCATTGGAAGACCAACAGATAGGAAGAAGTCAGCTGGAGAGAAGGTGGCTAATCAGCCAGTACCTTTTGAATGCATCTTCAGATCTGGCTCCACAGACAATCAAGGAGGCTCCTTCTTGTCATGTGGTTAGAGTACAACCAGTTACTCACAACAACCCTGGGTAGAGGTGCTATTACAATTCCCATTTTTCAGTTGAGGAAATGGAGAAACAGAGGTTAAATGACTTACCCAGGGTCATATAGCTAGTGAGTGTATGAGGTAGATTTAGTTGAGTCAAGAAGAACTGAGGTGGATTACCCCTGTCTCAGACACTTACTAGCCAAGTCATTTAACCTTTCTGCCTCAGTTTACTTCATCTGTAAAATGAGAATAACAATAGCACTTACTTCCCAAAGTTTGTCTTGAGGGTTAAGTGAAGTACTTGTAAAGCACTTTGCAAACCTCAAAGTACTATGTAAATGGCGGTTATTATTGTCAAGCATATTTCAAACTTAATATGTTAGTTCCAACACTGTCTTGCTAATCTGTGTCCCCTTCTGAACTTCTTTCTGCTCAGTGTATATTTTTAAAATATTTAATAAAAATATTCCCCTAGAGTACAGGAAGGGAAGTAGTGTATAATAAGTTTGGGAAGATAGGCTGGAGCCAGCCTGAGAAGAGCTTTGAAGGCTAAACAGGGGAACTGTTCTATTTGATCCCAGGCCCAAAAGGGAGCCCTTGGAGTTTATTAAGTAGGGGAGTGACATGGTCAGACCAGCAGTTAAAGAAAATCTTGTTGGCATCTGGGAGTGAGACCAAGGAGGAGGTTATTACAATAGTCTAGGCTAGAGGTGATTAAGGGCTGAATAAGGGTGATTATATTTAGATTGTTTATACATTTGGAGCTTATTGTAGTATATGGTGTAATGTGATAGTCTAAATCTATCTTTCTCTTAGGAATATGTGTGCGCGGTGCATGTATATATATATACACACACACAAATACACTTGTATACACACATGTATATGTATAAACATAGATGTATATTTTTGCCTGCTCTCTGGTCATCTTCATGCCATGTCTCCTCCCTTCCAGCCCAGCTCTCCAGTTCCCACCCTGGGGTCTTGGCCCCCTGATTAATGAGAGCCTGCCATAATTAGCCTAACTTCAGGATTCAGACCCACCATGTTGTTGTCCTCTGTGATTTTAGATGGCTCATTTAGAAATGAAAAAAGCATTTGATGGAAAAGTATTTGGTTTGCAACATGTTTTTAGCTTTCAATGGATTTTATAATGAAGTCTGATAAAAATGTTATATAATTTTGAAAGAAAATTATAAATTCTGGCAAGCTTATGTCACCAATATTTTGGTTATTGTTCACTCTTACAATTTAAGGTTACCTAAAATTGAATGTTTTTGATGGAGAATAAGTCTGATTTTATTGTTGATTTGGTGTGTTTTTCATCTCTAATGTTGCATCTTTTCTCCCCTCCCCCCCTCCCATTTTTACAGACTTTGGCTTGAGCAACTATGCAGGCATCTTGGGTTACTCAGATCCTTTCAGTACCCAGTGTGGCAGCCCAGCTTATGCAGCTCCAGAACTTCTTGCCAGGAAAAAATATGGCTCCAAAATAGATGTCTGGTCCATGTGAGTTATTCAACTTACAGAAGTGATTTTTTTTCCCCCGTCTTCCCCTTCCCTTCCCCCACTCATTTAATATAGGCGTGAAGTTAGCATGTTAAATGAAGAGATATCATGTTCTTGAAAGCTGTGGAGAGTATAATAAATGATTTTCTATTCTTTAGGGTCCAGAAAGAAATATACCACCATCAGAATCTTTCATCTTTACTCAGAGATGAGGCTTTGTGCCAAAACCATTTAGTCAGTAAATCTGACTTCCCAAGTGTTTGTGTTGAATAGCTCTATCCTCATTATTATGTGTATATAATGGACACATAAATGTACTTTGCTTACAGTTTCCCCTTCTTTACCATATCTACCCCAGCGAAGCACTCACCCATTCAGCCTAGCCACTACAACTCTCCTATATTGCCTCTGGATCATTACTTCTTCTATGTTCTTGGGCAATTAGAAGCCTCCTCCCTTTCATACTTTCTTTTGTACTGCTACTGCAGCCTCAGAATCTCATTTGTATTTGCTGTACCTTGTTCAGTATTTGGAATTTGTGAGAGCTGGGAGATTGGGCAGGGGGCATCCCTTCACATTTTTTTCCATTGCATTGAGAGGCTCCATGCTCCAGTGATGTGAATGGAAATTCAGGATGGGTTTTCCCATACAAACAACTATGGTTAAATTCTGTGGTACTATAGTACTCTGGCATTCTATATTATGACTATCCTACAGTTTCACTGCACTGTGGTTCAAAGGGACTTTTGTGGGCTGTCCTGGGAACCAAACTACATTGTTTTTATGATAAAAATGCATTCCAATTTCCTGTCCACCAACTTCCAAACGAACTTTGGAAACATGACCTATTTGTAAGCCACAAACTGACTATAATTGTTTCCCTTCCTGACAATGGACAAAAACGTTATTATGCACATTACTGTAAATGTGAGTGATAATTTTATGATGGGCAAAGAGTTGATTGACGGAAACAGGACAGGGAGGTTATAAACATTGGCAGAGGGAAATAGGCTGTGGGACAGAAGTTGATTGGGGGTGGGGAGGAGATATGATTTTGATTCAGAAGTTCTTCAGGTGAGAAAGGCTGATTTGAAATAAAAGTAGCAGCTTGAGTAAGCAACCAGAAATGTAGCAACAGGCATTTATTAAGTAGCAACCAAAGTCAAGGCTAGAGATCAAAATAAAGGAAGGGAACTCTAAAAGAAAAAAAAAGGTCAGGGAATACAGAGGAACCAGCAATTAGCTTGGAGTTCAAGTGACAGAAGAGAATCATTTTCAACATCCTTAGAAAGGACATAGATTTCCCATGGATTGAAGCTATGAGGCATTATGTAACCAATCTAGGATTGAAAAGAAAAGGCTGAATTTATGTATGAGATATGTTAAGTGGAATATGTGACTATACTATAATTTTACCAGTCTACATAGTTTGCTCCCCAGGAATTTTTTTGTGCCATAGTAATGGTGTATTCCTTAATGAGAAAAGATAATTTGTTAATGCTAGTAAAAACTTCCAAACTTTATGGCAAAAGGAGCCAGATCCTGGCAGGCTTGGTAACTTGCAAAATGAATGTCAAGTATAACCCTAGTAGATAAATAATATTGTAAGCAAATTTTAAAAATTATGGCTCATGTTTTTCATGCACTAAGGAAAAGAAAGGTTGTTGCCTCTTTGAAGTACCAGTTTGTAATAGGAATATTGAGGAGTCATAGCTAGGAACTGAGCCAACAAGGCAACAGCCATTTGTTAAACACTTACTATATGCCAAGCATTTTAGCTAGGTGGAAAAGGGGGAAACTCCATAGAATAGAATTTTAAAAATGGGCATGAGGGGGTAAGGAGGGGATTTTTATACATTAGATTTGGGCACTATAGATAAAGAACAAGCTAGCTAGGAAATGTGGACATGGGGAGATGATAATTCATAAACCAAATATCTACCTGAAGACAGAGAAAAGGTAAAGGAATTTTTTACAGATTATTTCATTTTTCATCTAGAAAGGGTAGAGTGTTTGTCTATGTTTTTGTGCAACATCTGGAATTGAACTGAAACTAATAAAACAAGCTGCAATGCACTTTGTGCTGGTAAAAACAAGCAATATGACAGGAAGTGATATAAGGGGAAAATGCAATTTAATAATTATAACTTTAGATACAAATTGATTGAACTGACATAAAAGAGTTGTAGACTGGATTTGTAATAATCTTTAATATATGTCATCTTAAGAAAACATATAAACCTAGGGATACATGCAAACTTAAAGTGAAAGGCTAGAATGAAGAATTTTATGCTTCTGCTGAATCCTCAAAAAATGAAAACCAAACTCCAGAAACTGCAATCGTGATTTTGGATAAGGCAGAAGTCAAAATAGGAAGAATCATGAAAGAGAGAAAGAGAGAGAGAGAGAGAGAGAGAGAGAGAGAGAGAGAGAGAGAGAGAGACAGAGGAGTGTGTGTGTGTGTGTGTGTGTGTGTGTGTGTGAGAGTGAGAGAGAGAAGAGAGAGAGAGAGAGAGAGAGGAAAAATAAGTCTTTGGGTTTAAATGGTCCCTCTAAGATGAAATTGCATAGATCTTGTGTGTGTGTGTGTGTGTGTGTGTGTGTGTATGCGCTCGCGTGCGCGTGTGCACACACACACAAATGTCTTGATACCTCAGTAAGCCCTTTTGCGAAAAAGTCAACTGAAATGAAAACAAACAAAAAACCCTACACAGTAAGGCGTTAATACTAAGAGATTTTCATATTCCTCTATCAAAACTTGATAAATCTAACAGAAAGAAAAGTAAGAAGGAAATTGCAATCCAACAGAAATTTTAGGGAGAAATGAATTTGACAGACATATGGAAATAATTCTATGTGAACTGAGAGTTTTCTTTTTTATGGTATTGCTATAAAAAGCATTTATAATATAGGACATAAGGCAGAAATATCAACCAAATATTTTATAGCATGTAAACTCACTGAAGGCAGGAACTGTGTTTTTTTTGTCTCTTTTTTTAGCTACAGACCTTAGCACTGTTTCTGGATCATATTGACTTGTCTTTGTTAGACCATCACGTAATAAAACAACAAATAACCAAGGAAGTATTTAAATAAATTCAACAGGCATTTATTAAGCATCTTGTATCGATGAAGCACTTTGCTACAGTCTGAAATAAAAAGAAAAACATCAAAAAACATTTTATGCCATCACGGAAATATTATATAGAGGAATGAAGCCTATAAACACAAAATATAAGAAAATTTTGGAGGGGGGGGAGAAAAACTTCCTATAGGTAGAGGTACCTGAGCTGAGTCTTAGAGGTAGCTTTTAAGAGGTAAAGATGAAGAAGGGGCGCATTCTATTCATGAAGAAACCTGTTCAAAGGCACTGGGATGGAAAGTCAGGTTCAGGAAACAGTAGTAGTCCACTTTGGATGGAATGCAGAATACATGAATGGGAATATGGGAAACAGGCATAAAAAGATGGACTGATTGTGAAGTCTTTAAATACCTAGATGAAGGGTCTGTATTTTATCCTAGAGGCAATAGGAAGCCACTGAAGATTCTCTAACAGGAGAATAACATGGACAGAGCTGTGTTTTGGGGAAATTGTTTTGGGAGGAATGTGGCAAACAGATGATTAGAGAAGAGAGAGGCTGAAAATCAGGAGATCAATTAGGAAACTATTCCCATAGTCTGGTCAAGAGATAATGATGACTTGAACTGGGGTTTAGGTGATCATGTGAGTATAAAGAAGGGAATTTATATACAAGAGATGTTGTGGAGATAGAATAGATAAGACTTACCAACTAATTTACTGTGGTGGGTGGAGTTTAGGAGTTGGAGAGCGTTGAGGATAACTCGGAGGTTGTGAACCTCGTGACTGGAAGGATGTTGGTTCCCTCAACAAAAATAAGAAAATTTGAAGGAGGGGTAGGTTTCAGGGAGAAGAGAATAAGTTAGATTTAGACACATGGAATTTAGAACGCTTGAAGGTGTCACCTGGGTATAGCTGTGGTACTAGAGCCCATGACAAATGTAAAATGTAAAGTGTTAAAAATATTGCTTCTTGGTCCCTCTGTGACCATGGGCAAAAATATAAAACACTCTAACAAACTGAACAAATAGATTAAACAAGCTAATCTTATAAAGAGAAACTGAACAAGCTATAAATGAAGTTTCATGGAGGGGAAAACAACCTGTAATCAATTGTATTGATAAATGAATTTTATCGAATGTTTAAAGAATAATTCCCATGCCACATAAACTTTTTAATATGGAGAATGTCACTCAATTACAAGCCAAATGTGATAATGAAACCTTTCTGGTCCTCAGTTTCCTCACCATAAAAACAATAGGTTTCAACTTGATGATCTTTGAAATCTCTTCCAGCTCTAAATCTATGACCCTATAACCCCAAAAGCTGGATATATACATTGATTTGTGATTCATATTCTCAGAGATGACCAATCACTGAACCTGTAGAAGTTGTGAAAATCAATAAGAGAGGGTATAGAAAGGGCCAAGAAAGGACAGAAGACAGGGGACAAAGACTGACAACTCTGTAGAAAACAAGTTTCAATTAAATAAAGATGTCCCAAGCCAAGATACCATTAAAAAATGTGTGGTGAAAAAGTGGAGTTAATGAGAACGAACAGCTCTGGAGTTATGTAACTAAAGATATGAACAAAAGATGCAATCCTAAATAGGTAGTTTAAAAAAATACTCTAAGTAATGACTAATTACCCTAAGTAAATTATGGAAATAATTGCTAGTTATACTAATGTAATCACAAGAGTGATACAGCATGCCAAAATGTGGGAAATGCAAGAAAATCAGTCTTCAGAGGCAACAGTATTTGAAAATGTAAAAAATCAATGACTTAATAAATCTCAAAAAAGCAAAAGAGAAGAAAATAAGAAAATTAAAGATGGAATAAAGTTTCCATTTTTAAAAACTCATACTACTAAACAAAGTAAAGAGCATTTTAAAATGCCAATAAAACCGAAAGCTATTACTTAATTTAATGATAATTTTAAAAAGCAAATTAACAATAAAAACAAGAAGAGATAAAATCATGAGAGGAAATAAAAATTTTTCAGAAACGATTACATACCCAGCTATATGGAAACAAAATCAGAAGATTTCTATGAAATAGATGCTATTTGCAAAAATATAAAACATCTAACAAATTGAACAAATAGGTTAAACAAATTAATCTTAAAAAGAGAGACTGAACAAGCCATAAATGAAGTTTCACGGAGGGGAAGACAACCTGGAACCAATTATATTGATAAATGAATTTTATTGACTATTTAAAAAATAATTCCTATGCCACATAAACTTTTAATATGGAGAATGTCACTCAATTATGAGCCAAACGTGATAATGAAACCAAGGAAAGATTATGTCATAGAATGAGAACTATGGACTAAGATCTCTAATAGTGATGCAAAAAAAATCAAATGTTGGCAAAGGGATTACAGCAATATATCCAAAAATTATAACCAAGTGGTTTTTAGTATAAGAACATAAAGATAATGCAAAACTAGGGAAAGAATTCACAGAATAAATAATATTTAAAACAAAATGATCTGCAAAAAGCCCATAAAATGTGGTTCTTATTTGTGTTTTTTTTTTAAAAACCCTAAGTGTAGGAGTCAAAGGACGTTTCCTTAATTTGCTCAATATTTGCTTCATATTTAAAAAAAACAGTTTCCCATTGTTTATTATGGAGAAATATTGGAAGCTTTCCTACTAAGATCAGGTGTGATGCAAGAATTTTCAGTAAAATCAGTATTAGTTGACTTAGAAATGAACACTGGCAATGAGGAGACAATATTTTTGCAAATGATATTGTGGTATACTTAAAAACTTAAAAGAATCAACAAAAATTAATTGATAAATAGCCTCTCAGAAGGTAGGGCACAAAATAAACCTACAAAAAGTCATCAGCATTTCTATATATTAGTAACAAAGAAAAAGGAAAGAGACAAAGATAGATTATCATTTTTAAAAGTTTTATTGATTCTTTCTTTTTACAGAGCTGTCATTTCCTAAACCAACCACCCAACTAGAATTCTCTCTTGTTTAAAAAAAAAAGTTAAGCAAAAAAAAAAAAAAACGGACATACTGACCACGTCTGACAGTATATACATTAACAAATGAGAAAATATAAAAATGTACGATTGCATATGTTGAAAAAGTCCAACGGCCTTTAAAGCCCTTCACAATTTGGATCCAACTATCTTTCCAGACTCCTTGGCCAACATTTCCCCTTCAACACTCTCCAATCTAGCTCAACTGGCCTTCTCATTGTTCCTTACACATGAGTTCCATCTCCCATCCCCAGTGTTTCCCACATGCCTAGAATACACTTCTTTGCCTCTACCTCAGATTCCCTGTCCTCCTGCATGAGTTCAAATTCCATCTTTTATGTGAAGCTTTTTCTGATCTGACACCCTTAACTTCTTAGTGCTTTCCTCCTAAACTATCTTGTATTTAACTATTTTGTATTTATTTGTATGTATCTATTTGACCTATCCTTATATATGTATTTCTTGTCTTCCCCTTTTAAGAGTGTAAGCTCCTTTAGAGGAGAGAATGCATCATTCTTTGCACTTGTATTCTCAGTGCCTGACGCATAGTAGGTGCTTAAGAAATGCTTGTTAATTGATTGCTGGAGACTCATGAGGAGGGCTTATGGAACAAAGGTATAGAGATGGTCTTTAGTTTCCAAAAAGAAATAGTCCTCTTATTCGTCTCTTTGGGTGCTCATGGAAGAAAGTACTAATAGTTAATGCAAGGAACATTTTGGTTTGTAACTTGTACTTGGTGGTTTTATCACAGTCTTCTTGGCAAAGCCTAACCCTTTGTATTCCCCAGGCTTCTGAAAACTTGAGTAGCAGTGGTGTATAATGAAGGAATTTATGCATCAGAGGTTATGGAGTAGGTGGATCAGTAGAATCTAAGACTCTTAGGATTAAAGTATTGCATATTACTAGGGAGATCTAGAAATGGGGATACGAAAAGGCATCTGGGGAATGCAAGAGCAAACACTAGAATTCTGACATACCTTTTTTTTTCCTATGCCAGGATCTTTTGTTTGAGTAAAGCTAAGCCCTAATGAAAAGACCATTGGATTTGGAGTCAGATGACCTCTAATCTTTGGCTAATTTTACCTCTTAGGACCTCAGTTTTCTCATATGTAAAATCAATGGCATTAGGATAAATGGTATACATCTCTAATTCCAGACAATTTACTTGAGACGGATAAGAGATAGATTATTGTCTCAAAGAGTTTACAGTCTAATAGGGAGGGGGCAATCTTGGGGAGAACCAAATAAGTAATAAGAAGATAAAAGCAAAATTTTTGTTGGTTGAGGAAGGGGCAAGAAAATTCATTTGCTCCTCCTCCATCCACCCAAAAGAAACAGTTCCTCAGCCCCTTTATAGATCTGAATTATTGAATTGCTATACCAGTTTTATCTTCAGAAATGTTCAGTGGAATTTCAGTGAAACTGGTCTTCAGTAATCTTAATTTAAATCTGTTTTTATGGTTTGCTTTTTTTTTTTTACTGGAAATCCTCTTCTATAGTCTAAACGCATCTTTCTTTGGGCATTCCAAAGTTCTTTAAGCATTCTGGCAGTGAAAAATTTCCTTCCCATCAGGAAAATCTTCAGAACTATATTTAGTGTGCACTTTAGGGGGGAAAAAATCCTCCAAAGACACATCAGCTTTTGATCTAAACAGCCAGGTTCATTCTGATGGCCTTTCAGATACATCTAGAAAATCAGATTGGCCATTACTGGCCAACAGCCATCTAATTATATTATGTGAGGCAGAGCTATTAAAGAGATAGTATGGCGTAGTGGATAGAGTTTTGGCCTGGAAATATTGACTCTAACTTATTAACTGTGTGAGCCTGGTTAAGTCACTTAAACACTAAATACTTGGAGCAAATCCCTAGGACTTACCTACCAATTTATAATATAGGGGGCCTATGGGGAGTACACATAGCATTGTTAGAAAGGGTTTCTACACCAGGAGTTCCTCCTCATCAATGTAATCACTGATCCTTTTTTTTTTGCATACTTTATTTTGTATATCTTTTATTATTTATCAATCAACAAGTTATTAAGTGCCTACTATATGCTAGGAATAATATTATAAATAAGAAGGTGATAAGAAAACACCAAAAAGAAATATCTTTGATTATAAGCCAAAATTTAATTCAAAGAAATAGCAAAGTACTAGGAATTAGTAATCACCAGGCACGACTCTGTGGTTAGGTGCTACATTATGAAACATTGTTATACAAAGTGGCTATGGAGACAGAGTATCTGGGTTTTAATTCGAGCTCTGCTATTTAATACCGATGTGAGCTTGGGAAAATCATTTAACATGGCCTCATTTTCTTCTTCTATAAAATGAGGGCCAGCTCAAACTTTAGGATTCTATGGTTCTTACAGTCATAAACTATAACTATCTCAAGTTCCATTTAAACATTTAGAAATAAATTCTTATATCTAACGTTCCAAAAAAATCTTTCAAATAATCCTCTCTGTACTTTGCGGCTAAGGACATTGTTGTGAGTTTATCAATTTGAAGAAAGAAAAGGAAAATTTATTTACCTTTTTCATCATTATCATTGTAGACCTAACCTGTTTCCATGGTTCATTGCCCAAGGCTTCACTCCAGTGATGCCAGGTTTTTGTTTTTGCTGCTCTCATCTAATGCAGACAATGTTTCAAAAAGATGAATGAGTGAACTTACTGTTTCCTAGAATGAAATAATGTGCAAATAATATTGACCTTAAGCTTCCCCATCATGTTTCTACCCTTCCCCAAATAGAATCATTCTGCTCCAATAACTGTCATCTTTTCTCTTTTCTCTTTTGTAGAGGTGTGAATATGTTTGCTATGTTAACTGGAACACTGCCTTTCACCGTGGAGCCCTTCAGTCTGAGAGCTTTATACCAAAAGATGGTGGACAAAGAAATGAACCCCCTCCCTACTCAACTCTCTCCCGGTAATGCCCATATCCATCCAAATCCAGCACATATCATTCTACCTCTGAACAGATTTTGCGTGTGTGTGTATGTATGTGTGTGTGTGTGTGTGTGTGTGTGTGTGTGTGTGTAAAAGAGAGATTTTTAATTAAATTATTTTTTAAACTTTCATTTTTTAAATTTTGAATTCCAAATCCCCTCTCTTCCTTCAGTCCTTCCCCCACCCATTGAGAGGGCAAGCAATATGATGCTCATTTTACATGTGAAGTCATGCAAAACATGTTTTTAAAAGTAGCAATCTGAATATTCATAGAATCTTAGAGTTTTAGAATCAGATGGGACCTCAGATATTACCCATTTCAACCCCTACTCAAAGCATGAATCTACAACATCTTTAAGAGGTCTAGTGTTTAGATGACTTCTAGTGACAGAAGCTTACTGCCCTTGAAACATAAGTTTTCTTTTTCTTTTTTCTTTTTCTTTTTTTTTTTTTTTGGGGGGAGGTGAGGCAATTGAGGTTAAGTATTTGCCCAGAGTCATACAGCTAGTGAGTGTTATGTGTCTGAGGCCGGATTTGAACTTAGGTCCTCCAGGGCCAGTGCTGTATCCACTGTGCCACCTTGCTACCCCCATAAGTTTTCATTTTAACACTAACTTAATCATTAAAAAAAAAAGTTTTCTTTAATGTTGAGTTGAAATCTGTCTCCTTTTAATTTCCACTCAGCTCTTAGTTCTCTCCTCCTGCCCCAGCCTAGGTCAACCAATATAAACCTTATATCTCTTCCCCATAACAGCCCTTTGAACTTAAAAAGTAAAGAATTTGCGTATCCTGATCGGTGTTCTAATTTAGCAAACAGTTATTTAGCAGGCTCCAAGGTGAGCTCTCTATCCACTATGCAATGATGCATCTCCTTTTTTGTTTTTTGTAATATCAATCTAAATTGAAATTATGTCACATTTTTACTAGCTTTACAAACTTCTTAATTAAGCTGTTAATAATGTGAATGATGTAATTTGTTGTTGTTTTAGAAATGAGTAATGTGCCAGCACTTTTTCTCCACTACTCTTTAAGGGAGTTTTTTTTCCCAAAGAAGTTTTCAATAGACCTTACCATCACTGCAAGTAAAAATATAGGATTGTTTAAATAACAGAGCCATAATGTTCCCATAACACTGGAACCCTCTTATTGTGTAGATTAATCAATTTAGCCTGTCTGATTGACTTTTCTAGTAGGTACTTTTTTTTTTTTGGCTAGGCAATGGGGTTAAGTGACTTGCCCAGGTCACACAACTATAAAGTGTTATGTGTCTGAGGCCAATTTTGAACTCAGGTTCTCCTGAATCCAGGGCCGGTGCTCAATCCACTGCGCCACCTAGCTGCCCCTAGTAGGTACTTTCTTCTCTGCTTACTAGAGCTGTTGCATCATGGAATAACAAATGTCTTCCATGGCTGATGAATTTCTCTGACAGTGCATCTTTTAATTACTACAGCTCAGGAATAGCATTTGTAATACATTCTAAGCAATGGCTTGAGGTTACTTGAAGGTTTGTACCATTAAGCTCACTGAGATGAAGCAGAAAATGAGATGTTTGTGTTTATGAGGGTCAAACAAATGCTAATTAAAATTTCAGAAAACACTAGACTAGCTAATAACTTGTACAGATGCAAGAAGAGGAGGCCTGTTGAGTCTGGACGGGACTTGGCTTGTTCTGTCCAACTTTCAGTGTTGTAGTGAAATGATCTTGATAGTCTTCATATATTTCCTGAAGTCATTTCTCTCGTCCCACTTTCAGCATACTCCAAACAAGCCAGGACAAATATTGGAAAGCTGATGAAACACTGAGACAGCAATAGGAATTGGGGGCAAGTGCCTTCAAGATAGAAAATGTGGGTTGTGCACAGCAGGTACACTTGCCTTGTGTTGGGTTGAGTGTAGTGTGAGAATAAACACGGTACATCTCCTTTATGCGTGGCTCATCTTGAAACCCAGGGCCTGTAAGAATGGGAAAAGGCAATACAAAGAAAACGAGAGTGAGGATCAACCATAGCTAAACTGTTCCCATTGCTTTTTTGGAGAGGAGAAGATTTTAAATGCCAAGAAGATAGCTTTGATTTGCAAGGGACTTGGTGGAATAACCAATAAAAAAAATAATAATACTTAAAATTTCTCCTATGATGAAGATCAAAACCCATCCATGCCTGTCTATCCTATGTATCTTTTGTCTATGAGTTCACCATAAGGGACTACCCAACATGATGGAAACCTTCTTCAGTTTCTCCTGACATTACAAAGGTTCTAGTGGGGGTACTCTGGCTGTCCAGTTCTCATCCCTCACTCTTGCCACAAGACCGGCTATTCCTTGAAGCCATTTTTTTACTCTTACTCTTTGGAGTTTCTCTATGTTTATTTGTTGTACCCTATTGACAGTCCTTGTACTTCTCCCCATTGCCCTCATCTTTAGTTCTTTGAAAGCAGCTGATGATCTTTGTCTCACTGCCATATTACAACACTACTAAAATGTTAATAATGAAAAGATGGTCCTTTGCTTTCACATGGCTTTCTCCATCTATGCTTGGTCTTTCCGGAGTGAACAGACACGCCAAATTCCTTTGCATGGTTACAGATGTCTTCCAGGAAACTCTCCATTGTCCTGGGGCTTGATGGAATCAGCATAGTATCTTCAAACAGGAGTGTCTGGAAGACCTCACCATCCATAGGGATTGCCCTTTGATCTGTATTCTTTGCTGGACCTCCTCTATCACACTGGCAAATGCCTTTTGCCAGAGTACATATTGTTTTTTATGCTTTGATTGATATTTATTATAAGAAAGTTATTGAATGGGGTTATTTGTATTGTCTCAGTTTCCTCAACTATAAAATGAATTGGAGAAAGAATGGCAAGCCACTGTAGTATCTTTGTCAAGAAAAGGCTAAGAGGGGTCACAAAGAGACATGACTGAGACATGACTAAACAACAAACAGCTAACAATATTTATGTTGTTCTGTCTTCCAAAGAGTCCTTGATGGTCTTGGTGCCAAAGAGCCTATGCCTATAAGGCGGCATTTGGTCAATAGGATCTTACATTCTCTACATAGTTCAGTTAATCGTGAAATGATAAAAGTGTTGTCTATTTTTTAATATTGCTTTGAAAGTCTGCTTCTTCTTGTTGTTGAGAGCAACTAGGAGGTGCAATGGATACAGTGCTGAGTGTGGAGTCAGAAAGACCTAAGTTCATATCTAGCCTTAAACACATACTGGTTGTGTGACTCTGGGCAAGTCCCTTATCCCTGTTTGCCTCAGTTTTTCCTCATCTATACAATGAGCCGGAGAAGAAAATGGTAAACCATTTTAATATCTTTGCCAAGAAAACCCCGAACAGGGTCATGAAGAGTTGGACATGACTGAAATAACTGAACAATAATAAATATCCATAAACTTTGGTCAGACTCTACCACCAATGTACATCATGTGTCATTGGGGGAGAGTGGGCACAAAGTTACAGAAACCTAGTAAGGAAACACATTAGTATGGGACACCCATGTCTTTGGGACAACTCAAGACTCTAGTTGTTTAGTCGTTTTTCAGTCTTGTCTGATTCTTTATGACCTCATTTGAGGTTTTCTTGGCAAAGATATTGGAGTGGTTTGCCATTTCCTTCTCCAGCTCATTTTACAGATGAGGAAACCAAGGCAAACAGGGTTAAATGACTTGCCCAGGGTCACACAGCTAGTATGCATCTGAAGCCAGATTTGAACTCGGGCAGATGAGTCTTCCTGACTCCAGGCCTGGCACTCAATCCACTTTGCTGCCTAGTAGGTGCTTAATAAATATTTATTGAGGGATTGGCTGGAAGGTGGACCTTGATGTCTTTGGTCTCCTTCAGGAAGTATGTACCAAAAGTTACCAGTGGGGCTCCTGACTGTTCCACTCAAACTTTTAAGGGTCTACAGAGTTATTCTGGCATGTTCTTTCTTGGAGTCTCAGGTATGTTTCTTTTCCTTTGATACACGATCGCCTATCAGCTACTCCCATCTTTGATGGCAGGCCTCTTTCCCTATGAAGAGCTCTAAGCATAAGGAAACAAAGACCCATCATTTTTGAAGGGGCAGGCTTCCTGTTCATTATGCAATCAAATGACAGGCATTTCTGTAGTATAGATGGACTTTTCCTGGTGTTGTCCTCTACATGCTAAATATCCTAGTAGAGGTATATTCAAAAAGTATTTGTTCAAGTAAATTTCTGTTATTGTTTTGAACATGAATAGGTAATGCCTTCAGGTAAATTTCTTTGTGCATTTTTGCAGAGTATTTGGCTTGTCAACCAGGCCGGGTATAGTAGTCATTTTATAACGCAGAAAATTGTGCCTATTTGATAACTGAATAAAGGTGGCAGTAGATAAAGCCTTTGTAGAGAAACAACATTCAATTGGAGCATCTTCAAAATGTGATATTAGAAGTTAGAATAAATACCTCTCATAGATTAACCACTTTATTTTAGATTTTTGTTGCATGGTGATATTGCCATTTTGTTTTTTGTTTTCCAAATCCATATAAATGATGAGTTGTACCATATTGTAACATAATTAAAGAATACATGATTAAACCCATGCATTTTAATATTTCTTTCCTTTTAAATTCTTTGGAGACTTGTATATGTATATTTATATGTTAGGACTTAAAAGTTTAATGACTATTGCAATAACTAGTTCTATTCCTATGAAATTTTTCTTTTTTAATATTATGGCATCACTATTTTGACAGATGCTCCTTGGAGGCAGGTGAGTGGCACAATAGAAAGAGCTAGGCCTGGAGACAGGAAAATATGAGTTCAAATCTGATCTCAGACATTTATTGTGTGAAGTCAATGGTTATCTGCCTCAGTTTTCCTCAATTGTAAAACATAGATAATAACAGTACCCTACCTCACAGGACTATTATGAGATAATATTTCTAAAGCACTTAGCACAGTGCCTGTCATAGAGAAGGAGCTTAATAAATATTTGTTCCCTTCCCTTCCTTATTAAGTTAAAAGACATTTAAAGTAAAAGTGAATGACTCTTTAAATTTAGGGAAATTTCCCAAAATTTTTCAGTCTCATGTTCCTTTGGCTTTCAATAAACCTTTCCATACCCCTATTCAATATGAAATCAAATAAATTCTAGAGTTAACTATGTGTATATTCGTAAGGAATAAAATAGATTAATTTTTCCTAAAACTTTGACATGTAACATTTTTAGTATTATAAAGTTGTTCAATGTTTTTCAGAACCCAGTCAAACAAATTGATGAGACTCTTGATTCTGTTTCTTGCCAACCAACCATTTTATTTTATTTTTGAAAGAGATCCCTGATCATTTTGCTGAGTGTTGGTTATCTCTTGCTTTGGATTTGGTTGAGAACAGAGCTGAGAGTTTTGGTTCACAAAAATAAGTTGTTGCAAATGGAGTTAAAGCTTTGTGAGCATGTTTAATAAGAATAGCATATGCTTTGCCTAGGAAACATTTAACAATTTTTGTAATTTCATTGGTTGGAAATCAATTTAGAGTCTCTGGTTATTACGAAGATCAATTAGCTTCACTGTGTCATCATTGACTTTTTCTAGCCCAGAATGAAAATGACTTCATATTTAAATCTCACCATTTGCTTTAGGTCAATAGGACTTAATCCTTCAACTGTTTTCTTTAAAAATTTTCACATGGGCTATAAAGCTTCCTCCATTTCCTACTCCAATCCCACCTCCTCACTGTTGTCTCTCCAATCCATTGGGTTTTTTTCCCCCATTAATACTACTACTTTTAGACTATTTCAATAGGATAATATAGTTCTTTACCAAATTTCCCCATGCCCCTTGACAGCTTCTTGAACCATGTGAGGGTACTCCAGTATGGGAACTACAGATTTAGAAGGTTTAAGAAACAAATTTTTGGGGGCAGCTAGGTGGTGCAGTGGATAGAGCACTGGTCCTGGAGTCAGGAGGACCTGAGTTCAAATCTGGCCTCAGACACATAACACTTACTAGCTGTGTGACTCTGGACAAGTCACTTAACCTCAGTTGCCTCACCAAAAAAAAAAACACAAAAAACTTTTTTAGATCGCTAACCTCTTAAGATACATTTTAGTTGAAAGGTTTGTTTGGCAAGGAAAACATAATAGGACCTTTCCAGACCTTTTGCCTAGGTACCCATATTTTAAATTTATTCAATGGAGCTTGATATAATGCTCTGAATCATACTTTAAAATTTTACTAGTAACTTCCTCATAAAGACAATATCTTTTAGGCCTATCCTTTCTCTTTCATGACCCAACTTGTATTCAAATATTGCAAAAATCACGTTTTTTCAATTTAGTGAAAATTTGTGCTTGCTGAAAGGGATTTTATCAACCAAAAAAAAAACTGACAACTTCAGAAACAGATTTTAACTATCCACTACAATTCTTGAGTTAAACAGTATTATGTGGTATGAATTATTATGTGGTGGTACATCTTAGACTTGCTTTTTGCCCTATTGATATCTTTTGATAGGTTTGAAAGGCTCCATTGAGAACAAACCCCCTACTTGGCTTGTTTCTCTTAATTCCTTTGTAATTATGTTGGATATTTTCCATTTTGCTAACGGATAGAAAGAAGAAGTGCTGTATAATGGAGAGAAACATTGCCCTAAGGGTTATCGCTTCTGGTCTCCATTGCATCACTTGCTATCTCTATGCTCTTGTATAGATCTATTCATTCTCTAGGTTTTAAATGCCTCGCATGAGAACAGGACTACAGATTCATACTAGCCAGCAAGAAAGAGGGAATAGGAACAAATGGAATTTTTGAGGATCTTGCTAGTTCTCAGATCAGTGGTTCTGAGAACATTCCCAAAGATAGAGACTTGTAGTGGTTTGGAGTTTTTTGGTTTTTGTTTTCTTTTTTGATGTGTGGGAAGTTAGGGGGATTGAAAAAAAGGTGGAAAGGAGGGACAAAAAAAATGGTTATCTACTGTAATTGCTCAGTAATTACCCTACCAAGCCCATCAAACCTGTATAAAAATTAGATCAGCAAGGTAATCAATAAATAAAGTAAGGCATTTATTCATGGTCAAAGAATTGCAGTTTGGAACAATGGCACTGTCTTAATCAAACAAGGAACTTCAGTGAGGCTAGTTACAAACAAAACAGAAGCAGGACAGCTAGGTAGATAGATGGAACAGCTCTTCACAAGTTATTTATTGCAGAGTGATAGCACTTTCCTAGAAAAACCACAGGATTGGTTTAAGCCACTTCTAGCCAACAGAGGTAGGCCACTGCCTGTACCCCAAGCCGAGGTCACTTGTAGGGCTCTCAAAATAGCTGAACTGCATGAAGGGAGGGGTTGCAGAAGTGTCTTTGGAACTATGTCTATAAACAGGAGCAGTTAGAAATTGCTAGTCTCCGCAGAGATTCCCAGGAGTTTACATTGGAGGTAGGTAGCGAATGATTAGAAATTACTAGTCAGAGCGGGGTAGGGGTCCCAGAGTTTCTTAGGGATTGACAAGCCTATGACACTGGTATTTTCTTTTCCTGATGTCTTCACAGCAGCCACAAACTTCCTAAGATCTCTACTAGAACCAGATCCTGCAAAGAGACCGAACATTCAGCAAGCACTGGCAAATCGTTGGCTTAATGAGAATTGTCCCGGGAAAGCTCCATATAACATCACATATCCAAACAGGTACTTCAGTAAATGCTGATCTCTAATGAAATAGAGTTTATGTGTGAGACCACTTTGGAAAATGATGTAAGATTCAATTTAGTTAAATAAACATTTAATAAACACCTGCTACGTTGCCAGCATTGCGCTAAGTGCTAGGGATACAAATAAGAAAAAGAGGTAGTCCCTGCCCTCAAGATGCTTACAGTCTAATGGGAGAAAATACACGTTGAAAAAAATACTAAAAAATGGGGAGGGGGAGAGAAGTAACTCAGGGGCATGTTGTTTCTTAGAGTGAAAGCCAAACAGAGTAGCTGATAGAAAATGGACTTAGGAAAGTTTTGAGCTAAGAAAGTCATAGGATCATGAGTGAATGCAGAGAAAAAAACTTCCACTTTTATGTGCTTCACTGGAATGAGCAGCTTATTATTCTATCCCCAGGTAGGAGAGAGACTACTGGGAATATCACCAAAGTGATACTTTGAGTGTAGAGCAATGGATATTCCTCATTCCTCATAAATACTTTGGATCAAAGTTCAACTTAACTGCTCCTTCCTGCATGAGGCCTTTTTTGATCCCTTCCCCCCCAGCTGCTAGTGCTTTCGTCCCATAAATTACATAATTTATCTTGTATGTGCTAATATATATGTGTATTGTGTTCCCTCAATAGAATCAAAGGTTTTTGAAGGCAAGGACTACTTCATCTTTGTCTTTGCATCTGTAGCTTTTAGATTATAGGATGAGAGATTTAGACCTGAAAAGAACCTTCAAAACCATCCAGTCCAACCATCTCATTTTACAGTTGAAGAAATGGAGGCTTAGAGACATTAAATGACTTGCTTCCGGGTCACACAGCTAGAAAAGTCTAAGGCAGAATTTGAACAGAATTCAGGCTTTTTGACTCTGTCCAACATTCCGATACTATCTGCCAACCTGTCTGCCATCTTGATTATTGATTGCATGAAATCAGAGTCCTCTAGTGTAAAGTAAGTGGAGTCCAGTCCTTTGGGAAGTCCTATGCTGCTGGTCATTGGACAGTGACTTGGGGAAACGGCAGTAGGGCTCCTGCCATTATCAAAAAATGGCTAAGGCTCTTATAATCAGTCCAAAAATTCTTGTGTCTTCAACAAGTATATAGACTCATCTAGTCAGCACTTTCGTAACCTTTTTTTCTTCTGGGTTGTTCTTAATCTTCCTTTTAGCTTGCTCTTACCAATACAAAAATGTTTGGGTAGGCAGATGGGTGGAATGAGGGAAGCAGTGGTAATATTTGTTCCCAGAGAGATAAGAGGCATTACTGTCTCAGCCTCCTGAAAGGGAGGAATCTTTCATTCAATCTTGCAAGTAAATATTAAAGACTCACTGGTCCTTAAATACAATATATTAATTCATTTCCCCTTGGGAAAAGTGCTGAGGGTAAAGTGAGTGCAAATCCACATTCTTCTCAGCTGACTCAGATTTTTGCTTTTCCTATGTAAATAGCAAGCAGATATAGCCAACATTACTCTAAATCTGAGATAAAAGCAATTACAAAGATAGTCCTGCCAAGACTCCTATGTCAATACTCCTATGCCTGACATGACAGCAGGCTGGGCAATTGACCAAGATTAGATGATTGAGATGGAAATGTTGCTTAAATAGAAAAAATGTGAGGAGAGAAATGTAGAGGGAATTAGGAATAGGGAGAAAATGAATACAGAATAAAAAGGAAGATGTGGACACTCTTCATTGGAGAAATACAGAATTACAAGAGCAGCCTTTTGAAAAGTTCTTAAAATGAGAGAGGACAAAATAGTTATTGGTAGGGGTTAGAAGGTTCTTCATTGTAGAGAAGAGGTTCCAATGGAAATAACAGATCCAGTTCATGATTCTTCAGATCTACCCTGATATGGCTCAGAGAACCTTATGTATATATAGTATCGGTACTATTTGTATTTCAGGTAAACATATGGTGGCTCCATTCAGTCACTGCCCAAAGTTCTAGCATGTGGGAAGTAATTTAGACAACAACAGAAATATTACAGAGGAAATCTTGAAATGGATTGTTTACTGCTTTCTGACACCAGTCCTAGTCAGATACCAAAAGAAAGAAACTGAAAGAGATTCTGAAAGCAAAACTAAGAGCCTATGGCTCATTACACTTTGCTAATAATGTACAACACATAGGTATGTTTTCTGTTAAAGGAAGGGAAAATTAGTGGAAATGGAATAGGTCATTAAGTTAATGTAATCACTGTCTAAATGAGTGTAATGAATCCACTAAATGTGACATCTGTTAAGTAAATAGGGCTGAAATTAAGAAGCAGTTCTCTCCCTGTGTTGGCCTGGTTTCCATTAAAAAAAATTATGATTTGGCCTCTAATTCTGTCACTGTCTGTAGGTAAACTCTCATAAATCAAGAACAAGTTCCAGATACTTTATGCTATTAGCTCAGATTTTGCTTTGAGGTTTAATCAGAATCATAACTGGCTAAACATCTAACTAGTTGGGTAGATTAGAGAGTAGGTAGCAACTTGTATATTAAAGAAAGCAGCAGTGTTATGTCTTCTGTAATGATGGACCTGTTACTTAGTCTATGCAGAAGGCAGACGTCTTAATACAGGATGAAAACAACACTTCTAGCTAATATGGCAACATGAAATATTACAGAGAATCTCAGCATACTCCAGAAAATACCTAAAAAGGTCAACGGATCAAATAACGATTAAGAAAATCAAGAGAGAAACAGTATTAAGCTCCTTCATCCTAGAATTGAATAAAAAGTCAGAAACCTGATGGCTAGAGAAGCTGGAGTGAATTGAGACATGATTACAATACAATATATTAATGAGGTATTAAGCTAACTGTAAAAGATACACCCTGATTTTTTTTTTGAAACAACTTTCATTGAGTTAAGAAAGGAACAATGTAATTGGCTGAACAAACAGATGAGCCAGACTTTGAGAAGGGCTTTAAAAGGCTAAGCCTGTGGACAAATTTCAACAGTTCAAGAGCTGAAGAGTTGAAGACATTACAAGCCTGTGGAGGAGTCAATTTCTCTCCCTCTCCTACCTCCCATTGGCCATGGAGTTTTGAAAGGGAGTTACTGGGCCAGTATGAGACACTGTATACAACAAGAACAGAGATAAATATTCAAGAAGAATATACAGAAAGATGGGCACTCAGGGAAAGAAACACATTCCGGGAATGTAGCCCTTGACAACAAAGAGAATCAGTCTGGGAACCCTGGGAACTCAATTGCCTAAGTGGCCTAATGAAGATGCTGAATCCAAGGAGAGCTCTCAGAGGACTCTATGAAAAGAGAAAAAAACGTCCAATCTCTGCAATACCAAGAGTAGTCAGTTGCCTTTGCCCACTATGTATCTTCCATATGTGTCTCACTACCATTTAGCTTAATCTGACCATGTATGCTGTGTGTATCTGTGGGAGTACACCTCAGGGGAACATGTTTTATGACTGCTCTGCTTGTTATGTTGAATAAATGTCTTTGCTAAGAGCTAATTGAATCTGCTGGCTGTTAGTGGGAAACACACTGGTAGGGGCTCCTATATTAATAGTATAGCCCTACAAGATTACCTGTAGTCTTTGACTTCCTTGGAGTACATACTTAATAGAAGTATCACCGAGTCAAAAAGCATGCATATTTTAGTGATTGGGGGCGGGGGGAAGGGTAATAGTTCCAAATCATTTTCCAGAATGGTTTAACCAGTTTACTGCTATGCCAGTAGTTCATTAATGTGACTATTGTTTCAGAGCCCCTCCAACATTTGTCATTTTCCTTTTTAAACATCTGATAGATGTGAGATGGAAATAAAAAATGGCTTTAATGTACATTTTTATGTATTAATAGTTATTTGGAGCATTTTTATATTGATTTGGTAGCTTGCATTAATTAACTTGAGAACTGCCTGTTCATATCCTTTGACCATGTATTTTTAAAAATATATTTTATTTTTTCCAATTACATATAAAAACAATTTTTAACATTCATTTTTAAAAATTTTAAGTTCCATATTCTCTCCCTCCATCTTTCCCCTCCCCCCCTCATTTAGAAGGCGAGCAATTTAATATAGGTTATACATGCATTGTCATGCAAAACATTTCTATATTAGCTTTGACCATTTATCTGTTGGGGAATTAATCATTCTTATTTTTCTTATCTTCAATTACCAATCACCAATCAATCACCAATATACCAGAGGAACTCTACTCTGAAGATTTTTCCCATCTGAGTCCAAGTGCATTTATTCTGCTTGTGCAGAATCTTTTCAATTCTATAAAATCAAAATTGCGGGAATTCTTCCACTACTCTTAGTTATGAAAGTTATCTTCTTCCTTTGTCTTCTGACTTCTATATAATATGATCTTATGTATTTAAGTATCATGTATCCATTTGGAGTCTATTATGGTATATGAAATAAAATAGTGGTTTAAACTGATTTCTGTTGAGCTGCTTTCTAGTTTTCCTAGCAGTTTTTTGTGGAACATGAAGTCAGTTCCTGTTTGTTGGTGCCCTTGATTTTATTGAACATTATACTGCTATGTACAATTGTTTCTGGGTTTTGTTTACCCAATATGTTTCAATGATCAATTGTATTTTTTTAACCAGTACCAAATCCCTTCAATCATTACAATTTGAGATCTGATACTACTAGCTTTCCTTTATTCCTACTTTTCCCCCCATTGAAATCTTTATCTTATTTCTCTGAGTGAACTTTATTGTCTGCATCTAGAAAAATAAACTTTGTTTGACACTAACTTTGTGATGCTAATTTGTGGTGCTAAATGTATCAATATTATTATGTTGGCAGGACCCAACCATGATCAATTAATATCTTTGCAATTATTTATCTTCCATTACTTCTGTTTCTGTATTCATATAAATTCTGGGAATGTCTTGATAGATGGATTCTCTGAGATCTCATACATTCTCTAGTTATTGTGAATGGGATTTTTTTATATCTCTTTCTATTAGTTTTTAGTAATACTATATAGAAAGCCTGATAGTCTTTTTGTGATCTTTTTTCATACTATGCTGCATTAATAAATTATTATCTAGTGCCATTTCTAATAGCATCCACATTATAATAGTGACAATCATCTAGTTATGATTTTAATAATAGCTAATATTGACTAACATATAGGTTCTTCATATTTTCTTCATTTTAGCTTCACAAGCCTATAAGTAGGTATTATTACTCACATTTTAGATGCGAGAAAACAGAAGCTTAGGTCTTGTCTAGAAGTCAGTGTAATGTCTGTTAGAAGTGGAATTCAGGTCCATATTTCCCTATTCCAAGTCCAGCATTTGACACCCTTCTTTACTGTAATTCGTGTTTACAACACACAGGAGTATACCTATGGGCTTTATTGCTTATAATATAATAACACTAAGCATTTATTTGATCCTATCTATGTGCAGATCACCATAGTAAGCAGTGTGAGAGATACAGAGATCTGGGTTCCAGCCATTATGCAATTTATAGTCTACCAAGGAAATAGGGCTCACACACAAATAATTATAACACACAATATTCGTTGCTCAATGGATCTGGGATTTCATTGATTTGGAATTTCCCCCCAACAATATCTGCAGATCATAACCCATCTATGCCTGCCCATCCCATGCCAGTCATCACCATCATCATCAATAGCATTTATATGGTGCCTATTCTATGCCAGGCATTTTACTAAGTGCCCTACAAATGCTATTCAGTTAATACTCATAACAACCCTGGGAAGAAGGTGCTATTATTAATCTCGTTTTACAGCTGAGAAAACCGAGGCAAATGAAATTAAGTGACTTGCCCAGGATCACATAGTTAGTAAATTTCCAAGGCCAGATTTGAACTTAAATCTTTCCGACTCTAGGTCCAGCAAAATCTATCCACTTTCCCACCCACTTTGTTTATGTCCTCTCACTAAGTTCACAATATTGTATCAAAAGTGTATTTTATAAGTGCATATAAAACATTATAGCATATTTTGTTGTTCTTCAGTTGTTTTCAGTCATGTCTGACTCTTCATGACCTCATTTGGGGTTTTCTTGGCAAAGATACTGGAGTGGTTTGCCATTTCCTTCTCCAGCTCATTTTTATAGGTGAGGAACTGAGGTGAACAGAGTTAAGTGACTTGCTCAGGATCACATAGCTAGTTAAGTGTCTGAGGCTGGATCTGATTTCAGGAAGACGAATCTTCCTGACTCTAGGTCCAGCACTGTGCCACCTAGCTGCCCATATTATATTCTATATTCTATATTATATTGTATATAATATATGTGTTATATACACAGGCAAAGGGAAGGAAGGAAGATATTCCAGGGTTAGAGGAGGAATCAAATAATTTAGCATAAGCTCTATGCTGACTCAGAACAACCTCAGTCTGTAAGATAAGATCGATCAGTAACTCAACAAGTGTTTATTAAGTTTATTAAGGTTGCTATATGCTAGATGCTATACTTGGCCTTGAGAATACAAATGTACAGAAATTACATTCTGAAGGGGAGTAAACAAGTACAGATTTATAGGGGAAAAAAAGAAGGGAAGAGTAAATACAAATATAATGTAGTTTAAGAAGAAGGGCAGTGGCAATTGAGGGGACCAGGAAAGACTTCATAAGGAAGGTAGTGTTTGAACTCATCTTGAAGGAAAGGGAAGGAATAAGTATTTTATTGAGAGCCTACCATGTGGCAGACACTGTGCTAAGAACTTTGCAAATATGATCTCGTTTGATGCTCACAACAGCGCTGTGAAGTAGGTGTTATTAAGATCCTCATTTTATTGCTATTAAGTATCTGAGGCCAGGCTTGAACCTAGGTCTTCCTGTGTCCAGGCCTAGAACTGTATTCAGTGAACCACCCTGCATGTAATAGCTAAAATAACATATGCATATAGCTTTTAGTTACAGTAAATATTTCATTTGTATGGCAGTGCTATTTGAGCATATATGGATCTGTTTGTTTTTATAACTAGTGGATTTTCTAAGGCTCCTTTGGGAAGATTTCAAAAATCACATACAGTATTCTTTTTTCCCTTTTGGTTTAGGATTCACCTAGAAGACTTGAGCCAAAGTGTGGTACTTCACATGACTGAAAAGCTCGGGTACAAAAATAGCGATGTGATCAACACAGTTTGTCCAACAGGGCTTGCCACATCCTTGCCATCTACTTCCTGCTAAACAAGAAACTTGAACGCTATTTGTCAGGCCTTAGAGTAAGTTTGGCATTGCTGATAGATTTCTTTGTTCTTGGTGGGGGGAAAAAACCTCTCTTTTTCTCATCCATAACTATTTTCCAATTGCTGACACTTGATCTTCAGCTGTTAATTTAATCTGATGTGTTGCTGAGTCTCTGGAATGTGAGATAAAATAGGATCCAAACCTGGGTCACATATCACACTTTTAGTTCAAGGGAAGTCAAGATGTTTTAAAAATAATCTCTCACAAAGTTAGGCCCTAGGCAAAGGATTCAAACTTCTTGACTTTTTTTACTTCTCCTTTGGCATCTTTCCTTTTTCTTCTATTCCTTCAACCCTAGACTCATAACCTGTTATCTCCCTAGGTATCCATGCCAGAATATGTTCTCTAAACTTCCCTGCTGAAACAGAAATTGATTTAGTTTTATTATAGGATTAAGCTCCCTTCTTCAGGAAGAGCTAGCCCTAACAGCTAAGCTAGACTAACATAGGAGGACGGTGACTGCTAACTCCAAGCCACAAGTATTTCTTTCCCAGTAAGCTTTCTGGTTACAAAAGGTATCACTTGGAGGGCAAGGGCTTCTGGGGTAATCTTGTTTTGACAGCTAGGTATTATCTTGGGTTAAGAAAGCCTAGGAGAAACGCACTAGTCAGATGACCTGTCTTGTCCAATTGAATTATGTTCAAAACAAGTTTCTGTAATTTTTGTTATTCCTCTCTTCTATTATAAAAATTACCCCTTTAAATCACTGCTTGTCTCTGACATCTGTCAGATGACCTGTTTTGATATGCAAATTCTAGTTTTGCAAATGAAATCATACTCAGTAACTTTGTACCTCAGTTTCTTTTTATTTCAGATAATTAATTTTAACACTGCCCTCTTCAGCAGGGCTACATACTGTCCCTGTTTAAATTTACTCATCTCTAGGGCCCTCATTATTGGCCACTAGAAAACTGATAAACAAATTCATAATTATGTATTAATAGGTATGCTTTTAAAAAAATCATACAGAAGATATTTTCCTTTTAACTTTTTTTTTATGGATCATTTGATTTCTTAATCCTGATAGCATCACTGGGAAATAAGCATTATAAGCTCCCTTTAGCAGATGCTAAGCCTTGGGGAGTTGAGGCTGGAGTAGTAGCCAGCCTGTTCCTCCTAAGACAACTCCAAGCAAGAAATAATGGAAGGCTCTGGGCATGTTATATTTTGTGTTCTTGTTCTACTCCTGAAACATTTTTTTGGAGGTGAAATCAGATTTAAGTGACTATTGAAGGCATCTCTGAATAAGGGGAAAAAAATCACACAGAATATAACCTGAAGGGTATAGTTGATGGTGAAGATGAATTCTACCCACTTGGTACTTTGTAATAGTTGGAAGGATAAAAGGCTGACTGTAAGTATATGATCCCCAAGTCTTTTTTTTTTAAGAGATAACTAGAGGAACTTTGTCCTTTTTTGCTTGTTGTTAACTCCCAAAGCTTAGGGATTCATCAAACAACTCTGCTCATAGATGAATGTGAGGAAAGAACCTTTGATCTCTGCGTGGGAACCTGCCCAGGGTCACAGGGCTAATGTCTTCCTGACTCCAGGTCCAATACTCTATCTATTGTACCACTTAGCAAAAAAAAAAAAAAGGAAGGTAATTAAAGCAAAAGGAAGGAGGAGGAGATAATCAAATCTTGTTTGAAGATGAGAGTTCTTGAAAAGAGTTTTTACCATGTTTATTATAGGCACTGAACTTGGTTTGTCATGACTTTTCCATGTAATCTCCTAATGGGTTCAAACTTACTTCAAAGTGGAAAGCAAACTTTCTGATGTCAGTCAAGTGACACACCTTGGGCAAATCTGTTGGCCTCAGTTGCCTCATGTGTAAAATGAAGGCTTTGATCTAAATGATCTCTTAGGTTCCCCCCAAATTTAAATCCTATAATGCTAATCAATTATGAAGGCTTCTATAACAATTTGCACAAATTATGTTGAGTCCCGTTTGTCATGAATCATAAGGGATATAGTTCCAAATAAGCATTTTTTAATTTCTTGAAGCTACATTAAAGAAGTGTTGCAGATTCTATCTTTAGTCCTATTCTGTTCAGTATTTTAATCAATGTCTTAGTTAAATGCATGGATGGATATTTATCAGATTTCCAGATAACACAAAGCTGATAGAGATGGCTAGGTTGAATGGCAGAATCAGAATCCCAAAAGATTTCTAAAGGCTAAAACAATGGGCTAGAGAGAATGAGCTGAAATTTAATAGGAATAAGTTGATTAAAAACAACAACAACTTCACAAGTTCAAGATAGGGAAGCATTCGTGGATAAGCATTCATTTGAAAAATTCCTAACTATGTTAGTGAACACATAGGACATGCAAAATGATGCAACAATGTGACATGACAGCCAGAAAAACTATTACTATCCTAGGCAGCATCAAGGAAAAATTGTAGTTTGAAGAATGAAGGAAAAGATAGACCTATAGGTACTTAGTCCCATTCAGACCATAACAGGAGGATGATATTCATTTTGGGGACCCACATTTTAGAAACAACATCTATAAATTAGAGCTCTATTTAGAGGACAACAATAGGGAAGGTGAAAGGCCTCAAAAACGAAACAAAAAATCTACCATACAAGGATCGCAGGATGAATTGGGAATGTTTAGCCTGGAGTAGAAGAGATTTAAGGGGACTTAATAACTGCCTTCAGGTAGTTAAGGGATTAACATGTTGAAGTGGGGAATCAGGCTTTTTCTACTTGATGCCAGAAGGCAAAACTGGAAGAAATGTGTGGAAGCTACAGAATTTGTCTCATTAAAAAAAAAAAACTTGCTATCACAGTCATCAAAGGAATGGGCTGCCCTAGAACATAGTAGGCTGAGGTGTGTGACCTCAGGCAAGGCACTTAGCCATTCTGGGCCTGTTTCCTCTTCTGTAAAATGGGGATAATAGTATCTGTTGTACGTGGGTATTGTGAGCCTCAAATGAGACAATGTATGTGAAACATTTTGTAAACTTTATTATCTGCAAAATTCAGAGGTTGTACTAGACTGCTAATATCATCTCCAATTCTAAATCTCTGACCCTATGATCTTAAATATCTTCAGATAAACTAATTTCTTTAAAGAAAAAAAAATAGTGACATCTACAAAAAATTGAAACATTCAATATTAGATATACTGTGGGAAGAGAGAGAATACTAATGCACTATTGGTGGATCTGTGACGTGGTCCAACCATTTTAGAAATTGGTTTGGAATAATGCAATTAAAGGGACTAAATTCCCTCTTACCCTTTGACCTGGGAGTTCCAGGATTGTGGGTATATGCCTCAAGGAAGTCAAAGACAGAAGCAAAATTTTAATCTATACCAAAATATTTTTAGCAGTTTTTGTGGTAGCCAAGAACTAGAAATAGACTGGGTGACCATAGATGGGACAAAGGCTGATAAAGCTAGGGCATGAATTTAATGGAATATTATTATGTGATAAGAACCACAAGATATGTAGAATTTAGAGAAACATGGGAAGATTTGTAAAAAAAAAATCGATACAGAGCAAAATGGAACCAAGAAAATATTAGCAATAACTAGAACATCATAAACAAAAAGATTCCTAAAAAGAAATTGAACTGTGAGTGACTGAAAAGCCCATCCAGGGCCTACAGAAGCAATAATGAAACATTATTATGTGTCCTTGTTCCAGGAAGAAGGGCAGGGATAATCAAATATATGGTATAATAGGGTCACATATATCACTCTATAGGATGTTTCTGCCTAATTGTTTTTCAGTGTTATAAAGGAGGGTTCCATCTGGAATAGGGGTGATGTGGGGGTTAAAATGACTGATCTGTAGACAAAGGGCATGACAAAAATATATTCACAATAAATATACGATTCAAATATTCTCAGGCCAGAGAGGATTAATAACATCATAATGGAAACTGATAGTTCCTAATGGTTAAGGTTTATTTATTTTTCCCCTGGCAGAAATCGAACATTCAGGACAACATTTTCTACAAGAACCAGCTCTATCAGATAGAAAAATACAACGTGAATAAAGAATCTTGTGAGGTAAGGACATCAGCAATATTTGGGATACTCTAAGACTAAGGAATCTTTGGTCAGTCATTTCCATTCTTATGTATAGTAAGGGAAGGTAAATTATTCCAGGCCCCAAAGTAGCGTAGTGCAATTACAGGAGCAAAAGTTACCAAATGACTCCTTGACCATGAAAAATGGAATATGTGGGATCCATTGGTTTGCAGAGTTTCAGGGGATTTATTAAAAGCAAAAGTTAAAGTCACACATAAATGAACAGAAGACTTGGCTTCAAGAAAGGAAAATGTGACAAAGGAGTCTGAAAAGGTTTTAGAATGACCAAAATAATTATTGTCAACAATCCTGGTATGAAAAGTTAGGATTGGGGGCAGCTAGATGGCAGTGGATAGAACACTGGCCCTCAAGTCAGGAGGACCTGAGTTCAAATCTGGCCTCAGACTCAATACTTGACACTTTATTAGCTGTGTGACCCTGTTAGCTGTGTGACCCTGGGCAAGTCACTTAACCCCAATTGCCTAAAAAAAAAAAAAGAAAGAAAAGTTAAGGATTGACTATTGTGCCTCAGAAGTTCCCAAAAGGAAACTCACAGTTTTGCAATGATTTATGTGGCAAGTAGTCACGCAAATAGGTGTAGAATTTTTAGTGATTTTTCAGTAGTGTCTCTTAATTTCAAAAGCTCAGCAGAGGGGAGTTGGGATATAGTTATTCTTACTTTCAAGTCACCTCTCCTTACTGGACAATCCCATACTCCTACTCCTTCCCTAAAGTGGCTTCTTCTTTTTTTTTTTTTTGGCCAGGCAGTAGGGTTAAGTGACTTGCCCAGGGTCACACAGCTAGTAAGTGTTATGTGTCTGAGGCCGGATTTGAACTCAGGTCCTCCTGAATCCAGGACCGGTGCTCTATCCACTGCACCACCTAGCTGCCCCCCTAAAGTGGCTTCTTCTGTTTCTTTCTCAGAGCATGCTTCACAAAGCACTCCCTGCTTTGCTTGTCTTTCTCTAGGAGAGGCTGCCAAGAATTCCTTCTTTTGAAGGCAGAGCAAGAATTGACTACCAAATGAGGAGGAAGGGCCTATTCATCTTCCATTTTTTAATCTCAAGATTTCCTTAATTTGTATAATAATAGTATGAAAATAGCCAACCCTTATATAATTTTAAGGTTTGCAAAGTGCTTCACACTTTGTCAATAGTTTTCAGGTATTAAAGCTTACTAGTTTAGCTGCACTAAAACTTTTGGGAGATGCCCCATATCATTTCATTTGATATTCATATCATCAGCCTTATAAGGTAGATACTCCAGGTATTATTATCCCCATTACACAGACAAGATTTTACTGACAAAGTCTCAGAGATGTTAAATGACTTACCTATAATCACATAGCTAATAGATGCTAGAGCCCTCCAAATCCACTGAGCTTACTTAGCCCTTCACTTTGCTGCTAATCCATGGAACATTGTTTCTGGGTTTTTCTCGTAGGTGAGAGTTTAAAATCAAATATTTGTATTGGAAAGTGTCAAAAAACATGGGCCTACCTTAGACACTTTCTAGCTGTGTAAACACAGGCATATCATTTAGCCATTTTTAGCCTCATTTTCTATTTTAAAATTTTTATTGCTTCTTTTTGTTTACATTGTTTTCACTTCCCATTAACAATCCCCTCCCCTTGTAGAAGCCTCCCTTTTAATAAAAAAGTTGTGAAGCAAAAAAAAAACCCAACATGTTGATCATTTCTAAAATCATGTACTTCATTTGTACTTCCTCTCCCCTGAGGAGAGAGAGGTATGTTTCATCTTCAGTCCTCTCCAATCCAGAGTGGTCATCAAAATTTAGATCAATGGAAAAATACTTATCTAGATTGACGTGCAGTTGAATGGGCAGCTCACTGAGTTAATCCCTCATGACATCTGTCTTGGACAGGCACTACAGATGGACCGTGAGCTATACCCAGAATTGAACAAGAGATAAAAAAGTGGGCTGAATTAACAGTTGGGAACACAGAACACTTTCAACATCTTAATTCTTTAATGAAGATAGTTATTAAGTCCTTAATGACTGGATCTGATATAGCATGAAAACAGAATTTTTGATGGAAAAATAACACAAATTTATTTATTTATCTTTGTTAGTTAAACTACAGACTCTTTTTAGATTGATAAATTTATCTTAGTTTTATGTAGGAGGCTAAAGAAAAAGAGCCAAAAATAGCCACAATAAAGTAATTGGAGAGCCAAACTCTGCAGGTAAAAGCCTCTAAAAGCCTTTCTGGTTTTAGCTTGAACTACGTTGATGGTCCAAGAAAGGAATCTGTGTTCTTGGTAGGATAGGATATTAGCCGTGATAGGGAAAGGGTTGTCTCAATGATTAATAAAAGGCTATTCCTAGCTTATATTCCTCTGGGTGCTCATAAAAATGCTTTCTATTCATCAAATATGGTCAATTGCCATTTTGTTCTTCATGGTCTCATTCTTTTTTTTTTTACCCCCTTTGAAGAACTGAGATGAAGAAAAAGAAAATTAAATCCAGAGATCAGAGCTCTATGATTTTAAGGCTTTATTATCTTCCCTCTCCCTACCCAAACCTCCCCCCCACCCCTTTTTGACTTAAAAGCCAAAGATTGAATCAGTGGAGGTGGATTACAAATTTCAAATAACTGCACCTGTATTAAATTAAATTAGTCTGAGCCTAATGACTTTATTTATTCCCAAAAACTATCCTATGAACAGTAGTGACCCCTATAGAGGGAATGCCCATTTAAAAACTTTCCTCAGGTCAGAAAGCTCAAACGAATTCTGATTTGATCTTTAAAAAAAACACTATTAATTGCATTTTTAAAATGTAAAATATTGCCAAGAGATGAGAGCCCTCTATACAAAGCAAAGTTAATACTGATAAACTTTTTAAAAGGACATTTAAAGGTAAAATGTTAGAAGGTTGACTTCTTTGCTGATTTTGATGCTGTCAATCAGTCGTGCGCCCCTCTCCCCCCATACTCTTATTTACCTCACTTGTCTTTTATGGTGGCATCCTTCCTTGATTTGCTTTCTTTCCTCCTTGGCCATTTCTCAGTCTCCTTTGAAAGTTCAACACCTCTTGTCACCTACACATGGGTATTTCCCAGGACTATATACTGGGCCATTTTCTCTTCTCTGTCTATACTTTCCCTTTGGTGATCTTATATGCTTCCAGGATAGCAAGTATCATCTCTTTTCAGATGGACCAAGTATGTACGTAGTCCCTAAACTCAGCCTCATGTTACCAATCACCTGCATCCCTCCCTGGATGTTCCATCCTTGGCCCATACTTAGCACTTAACAAATGTATTTTCATCCATTCATTAGCATCTCAAACTCAACAGATCTAAGTGGAAGTGATGACCTTTCCCATTCCACTGTCTAAAGTGTATCCGTCCTCAGAACCTTCCTATTTCTGTTGGAGGGTACTATCATTCTCCTAATCCCCCAGGTTCATGACTTTATAATCATCCTTGACTCTTTCCTCTGCCTCAATGCCTAGATTCATTCAGTTAACAACTGTTGTTGATTCTAATCTCTGCATGTCTCCATCTCTTTCTGACCCACTCATACAATCACCACCATACTACAAGCCCCGACTGATTCTCTGTTAGATTATTATGATAGCCTCCTCATTGCTTTCCCTGACTCCAGTCTCTAGTCTGTCCAATTATTCATACTCCACATGACTGCCAAAATAACCTTCCCACCACATAAGTCTAACCATGTTATCCCTTTGCCTAAAAACTTTTGCCTCTAAAATAAAGGTGCTGCCCCTAGAACAAAATCAAAGCTCTCCAAATCTGGCTCCACCTGACATTGAATGTTCCAGGAAAACTGGACTGCTGGATATTTTTCCCTGAATTTCCTGTTCCATCTCCTGCCTTCATGCATTTGCACAAACTTTCCCCCATGTCTAGAATGCACTCCCTCTTGATCTCCACCTTTCAGAATTCTAACTTTCTTTTAAAGCTCAGATGTTACCTCCTCCATGCAGCTTTCCCTGCTACTCTTATTCATGTATTGGTGTGTGGATTATTAATCCCCAGTATTGTAAGTATATAAGTAATACAATTAGTAATATAATAACAATTATATCATTATATATATTCCAGTAATATAAGTAGTATAAGATCCTTGATGGCAGAGGGTTTTTTTAGCTTTTTTTTTTTGCATATCCTATATCTAGCATGATGTATTGCATTTGGTAGCTAAGCTTAATTTGAAATGTTGTTTCAAACATTAGTAAGAAAGAAAGAAGGAAGGAAGGAAGGAAGGAAGGAAGGAAGGAAGGAAGGAAGGAAGGAAGGAAGGAAGGAAGGAAGGAAGGAAGGGAAAAACAAGCAGCTAGGTGGCATAATGGAAAGTGTGTTGGACCTGGAATCAGGAAGACCTGAGGTCAAATACTGGCCCCAGATACTTACAGCAGTGTGAGCCTGGGCAAGTCATTTAACCACTTTCTGCCTCAGTTTCCTCATCTGTAAAATGAGATAATCGCACAGAGTTGTGAGACTCAAATGAGATGACATATGTAAAACATTTTGTAAACCTTAAAATACTATTTAAATGCAAACAATTATTATTGTAGATGTAAACTCTCGATGAATTTTTATGAATCATTTGTTATGAGTAAGTACAAAAATAGTTTCTTCTTCTAAGTCCTATCCTAATGCATATGAATTTATTTAACTCCTGTGAGTTGACTTTTTATTTGTTCTCAACATCAGAGGTAGATTTGCAACAAGCATTTATTAAGACAATAGACCATATGTGAAACAGAGATGTAAAGAGAGATACAAAGTTTAGGTTGGTGTCAGTTTGTACCAATTCATTCTCTCATGGAGTTCGTAAAGTCTAGTAAGAAAATAAGACAGAAACAGAGAATGCTAATGCATAATACTACAGAAGCACATCAGATAGATACAGAACAAAGTACTATGGAAAGCCAAGGTGGAAGGTCTGAATCAGTGTCTTTTATTGACAATGAGTGACTTGATATCA